CCTGCTGCATCCAGGAGTGGTTTCCGCCTTGCAATCCAAGCAGCCTCAAATAAAGGCTGGAATATATTCCACATGGATTTGAAGACAGCATTTCTCCAAGACGAAGCATACGATCAGTCTCGTGACATCATTTGTCAGATACCTCCTGAAATGGGATATCCACCACACATTGGAGCGCGCGTGAAGAAGCCTGCCTACGGGCTGACTGACGCACCCCGCAGATGGTGGAACATCATTGACTCGGCACTTCGTTCCTACGGACTGGTGCCAACCCGGGCAGACCGTTGTACATACGTGTACTACGGCAAGCAGCTTCCGAAGCCCGCATTGGTGAGTGAAAAGAAGTCATCCACAACTTTCGATCTCGAAGGAGCAGTTGATTACCTCATGGATCCTGTTTCTGGTAAGAATGCCAAGAATCGACAAGTTCACGGAGCACTGTCTCTTCATGTAGATGATCTTCTTATGACGGGGGATGACGTGTTCGAGAAGGAAATCATGGGACGACTTCGGAAAGATTTTCAGGTTGGTTCCGAGGACAAAAATGATTGCCTCTTCGTAGGACAGCGCATCCAATGGAAGCAAGATGACAAGCACGGTTGGTACATCAATGTTCATCAGAATGTTGCCATCGACGAACTGCAGGAGATCACTTTTGACAAACACCTGAAGGACGACACTCCTCTTACGCCACAAATGCATACTGCATACAGAAGTGTCCTAGGTCAGATCAACTGGTTACAGTCGCGAACGCAGTTTCACATTGGTTATCAATTCTCCAGGTGTGCATCCAAGGCATCATCACCGACCATTGAGGACGTTCGCGCCATTAAGAAGACAGTCAGAACCTTCAAAAGCATCCCGCTTAGCATGAGATTCTGGCCCCTTCGTGGCAAGACACGCATAGTTGGCTATCCAGATGCATCCTATCGCAACAACGAGGATAAGTCATCCCAACGTGCGCATGTTATCTTTCTTGCAGAACAAAGAGATCTTCGCCAGGGCTCATCGAACTCGAGAGGCTCACTGGTCGACTATGAGACGCACAAGATCACCGCCACAACCATGCCCACTACTGTTGCAGAGTTGCACGGACTAATGCGTTGTTACGGTTCAGCATTATTTCTTCGCGGCCTCTGGTCAGACATAACGGGCGAAATTGCAGATGTACACATCCGCACTGATGCGAACAATCTTGTCACCACAGCATCCACAACACATCAACCGGAACAGAAAGAAACAGTGCATTTGATCCAGATGTTGAGAAAGGAAAGCAACAGTGGACAGATGCACGACCTTGCACATGTACGGAGTGAAGATTGTCTGGCAGATTCGCTGACCAAGCATTCAGCTAAAGCAGACGAGCTCATCAAGGCCGTCCTCACCGGCAATCTCTTGAATGTAGATGCACATCCACCCTTCCGTACCATGTTGCAGAACAAGGCATTCTTGGTTGAGTGGCTAGCGCACAACACGAAGCACGGACCCGACATCATTGCTTTTGCAGGAGTCGGTATAGCAGAATCCATGTTTGCTTATTGAGGAACCTGGGCATCATCCTCATGTCCACGAATTCTGATGCATGAGTTTTTCCGTTTTGCATATTTTCAATTCCTCAAATCCGTGATGCGCGTGTTTGCACTTGACCCATTTTGAATCTCAAGAAATATGCGTTTGCATCCGCAGCCACTTTCGGTTTACAACCAATCAGACCTTTGCAATCTTGTATGCTCGATCACTTCGAAGACATGCCCATTCTCAATATGATCTTCGGACGATCCAGCGCCGCGGCACCTGTGCCAAAGTCAATGATCAAGAGACGGGCATCACCGTTGAAGGAATCCCCTGCTCGTGATGAGGAAGATGAGACATCAGACTGCCCTATGGAGCAAGTCGCCGATGAGAATCCATCCGCCTCTCAGCAACCCGAGAATGTCAACATGGAGCAGGTTGACTATGATCCAGATTCCGACGACGATGATTCAGATGAAGAAGGGCATCCTCCCGCAGGAAGGCCTACGTCAAAGGCGATGCCACATCCGAAACTTGTTCCAAAGTCACCGCCACCAGCATTGAGGCTTGTCTCCAAGGTCAAGCCAGCACCAACGAACATCCTGGATGAAGAGACGGAATCCGACAATCATCCTGGTGATCGACCTGCACTTCCAAGGCGACCAGTGATGCGGCCTGTTCTCACATCCAATGATCGGTGGTTTGTAACATATGGATCGGATACAAACATCAGCCTCCAGAAGGAATCCGTACACCCAGGACCTTTCTGAAACTTCAAATTCCTGAATTTTGTGTACGAGTGCTACAGGGAATGCTCAACCATCCCCGATGTCAATCCGGATTTCCACTTCGTTCCTGAGCACGAGAGACCACATGGAGTTAAGTATTCTGGTTGAAGGCTAGATTCAACGATTACTGGCAGCCAACAGTCCAAGGTGAAGGACCTCATACGGAGAAGCAATACATGGACTTCATCAAGAAGGTCTACAGCATCGGCTGCTACACCAATGCTCAATCCGAAGTTTACGGAGCCGACATCATCCCGATGGTATGCCACAACGGCAACATTGATCTCGAGAAGACCGTCCAGAATGTCGAACAGGTTTGCAAATACTTCCGCATGGATCCATCCAAGGCGAAACAGATCACAGATCTCATCCTCTGGCGAATTAAGAGAATGAGCAGATCATTTTCCGGATGTCTTCGACATGATCCAAGGCATGGAATCCATAAGGAATGCAGACGACAAGTGGACATGGGTCCTGATGGATCCGTCGAGCTCTATGACGCATTGACCTGCATCACACATGCCAGGAACTTCATTGGAAATAAGCCAGGACTTCTCTTGATGGCTATGTTCCCGAGCTATGGAAAATCACGTTCCGAAATTGCATTCGTATTTCCATCCGTGGACGGGCCATATAAGGAGCGCAAGGCACGGGGAGAAATTGTTCCAAGGAATCGATGGATCGACAAGCTCACCACAAGATCCGCACAAAATGCACTCAGGCCCGATGGCAAGGAATTCTATGTCGATCCAGAGATGGAGTTCTACGTGAGATGCAACAGCGGACACACACGACAAGTCGAGATCCAATCCTTTGGACGACCCCTGTACTCTGAGCAGCAGAAAGAGCCTCAACACGACGAACCGGACTATGATCTACCAACGGAATCTATTCCGCCAAGTCCGCATCCGTCAAGATCCGAGGCGCCTCATGAAGATGAAGGCACAGCTCAGCCCACGCACAGAATGCGAAGGCCGGCACCACCATCCATTGAAGAAGAGAGAAAAATCAAGCCGTTCGCGAAGAAGCCCATCACATTCATGTTCCATGCAACCTATGGAAATCAGCTCTTCAGCATCATGGAGGACGGGCTCAAATCTGGGAAATCCCAGAGAATGCACGTCCACATGGCATGCATCGATGACGTCATCCTTGACGACGATGAGTCAGAAGCCGCATTGACCCATGTGACAGCAGGAAGAGATGCACTGTTGATCCTTGCATTCCTCAAGGACCAAGACTATGGCATCCGACTCTCCGAAGAGCGAACAGCGTCGACAGACAAAACCATCGCGGCAAGGAACATTGTTGCAGCATTTGAACCTGATGGCAGCCTCATGGCGAGCAACAAGTGGATCATGAAGAAGCATCTCAGTTATGAAGATTACGAGATGTACGACACCAAGATCTGTGAATTTGCCGATGCCTTCTTCAGTTATGTGAATTCCACCAAGCACAGCAAGGAAAAAGATACTTCCTCAGAGACCAAGAAGAGACGGCGTTCCACCGATCAGGACGAAGCTGAAGAAGAGACGATGGAACCCTCCGGGGAAAGATCCGTCAAGCCAAAAGTCATCGTGGAATATCACAATTCAGAGAACCTAGACGAGTTCATCCAAGAACTCAAGGGAATCTATCTCGAACCAGATTTGAACAAAAAGGACGCAGAGGAAGAGCTCGCGGAGACCAAGGCAAACCTCTCCCGCTTCATGAACAAGTTCAACAAAGATCCAAGAAGAGCTCATCCCAACTTGACAGAGTGCGAGAGAGCCTCATTGGCACATGTCGATCCCGATGTCAATCTCGGAGAAGAAGAATTCTACTTCCCTCATCGAGGAGAATGTCCCACCATTGACGAGTACAAGCAAGCTCAACCAGGATCCGGATATCCGATTAAGCTTCCGCTTGGATTGAAGAAGCTCAGGTCACATGATGACCCGGAAATCATCCGAGCCTATGCCGATATTCCTGGGATCGCTGATGCAGCCGACCGACCGTCCTCCTGTGGACTATCTCAATATGCATGAGTTCACCTCATCCATAGCGATCAACATGCTTACCCTGAACCATGGAAACCTCACAAGGAATCCAAAGCTGGACAACAGGGAGGTGTACAACATGCCGATGAAGGATCGACCGATCGTAAAGATGATGATGCAGAACAGTGCACACATCTTATGCCTGAGTGAAGCAGACGCATTCTTCAGTCCTAATGATGAAAACTCCAGGGAGCTCATCAAGACGTTCATCCGATACGATTACAAGGGCATCGTGATCAAGCAATGGTCATCCAGACCGATCGCATGCTTTGTCCGTGGCGGACCTTCTGCAAGAGTGGAACTTCTGGCAATACATTTATTGAGAACTTATCTATAAAGGCACGCGCAGTCAGTCCTGCATGAAGCAACACAGCAAACAACCTAAAATGACTACCCAGTAACTCACCCTGATGAATAAGCCCTCCAGTCTTTACGGAAAATGGGTTCTGGTTGAGTGGAGGTTCTCCAGGAAACCCGCGGATTGATACTGGAGGAGGTTACTCATCTGGATCAACAGGCAACATGAAATCAATACATGCAACCATGTAGGATAATATCCATTTTGTCAGGCTTCCACCAAGGAAAATAGGCCACGCAACTGCTACGTACTAAGTACGCTTTCGTTTGTAGTGGCTTCGCCGCTCTCAGCAAACCCTGCGGCCTCGGATCGCGTAGCCCCACAGCATGCCTCATGAGAATTCGGTAAGGTTCCCTTTTGACCCCCTTTGTCTGCAGAAGGAACTCCTTGGAAAGGCTTCCGCGCATGTTTTGCTGCTTGCTTGCTCTGGGTTCCATCAGCACAGCGGTGAATAGATCTGTGCCGCATGCCACCATTGGCTTCTTGACCAAACACCACTAACACTTACAAAGACAAGCCCGTGAATATCAAGGGCGCCACGAGCATGTATAGGGAGGCCAAGGTTCCGGAACGATGGTCAAAAAGCAGCCTTGCGTGAGAAGACTGAGGGTCTTCCTATTTGCTCGTCTGCTCTCTTTGGCTCCGTGCAATTTGTTTGGAAAACATCCATGTGAAACCCAGAAACTGTAAAAGTGGCAATTCTCGTTGACAACCCCCGTGTGACCGACCCCGCAGACCCACGGGGCCGCAGCCAATGGAATACCTTGGAAAGTGCCAAGCCGCAGGCTTCTTATCGCAGACACAGGCTTGCTGGGATGAGGCTTGTGGTTGCCTTGTAGTTGTAGGAGCGGTTTGAACTAAAGCTGGTCGGAACCGGTCCAGCTTCGTCAGCGCGCTCTGATCCTGCTGTTTGTGCTTGCTGCTGAGCAGATTGCCCGCTGTTCAACCGTCGCGTCTTTCTTCATTATACTTGTGCCCGGTTCAACCGCAAAATCCAGCACAGGTGCCTATGGTCTTGACAGCCATCAACCGTTGCGCTGTGAGACCACCACCCCTTTCTCTCTCTGTCGGTCTCTCTCTCTCTCTCTCTCTCTCTTTCTTTCTTTCTTTCTTTTTCTTTCTTTCTGTCTTTCTTTCTGTCTTTCTTTCCTTCTTTCTTTCTTTCTCTCTCTCCCCCTCTCTCTCTCTGTGGCTCGCCCCGACCTGCTCTAAGCTTTTCAGCAATTGAAGCACTTGTCAAAGCGTTGGTCAGGTAAGGGGCCTCAATTGTGGGTCAGGATTCGTTGCGCAAGCCCAACATCAAAGCGTGCAATAGCCCACAAAAACGCAGCTGGGCTGCTGTACGCTGGCCTGCTGAGGCGGGGTCGAGATCATCACCCTGCCATATCAAAATCTGGCGTGTGTAGAACCACAAAGCCGAACGTACCACATTATTGTTGGGTTTCCCCCCTGCTAGCCTTCGTCTACTTTAAATGTGTGTCATTACGGCGAAAACTTTTCAACATCCCCGGCATCGCTGTGGTTTAGGCTGGGTTTAGGACAGGTCCGCGTTGGTTTGGTTTGTTTGGGTCCCTGTCTCTACCATAATAGAGAGGTCACGCCCGCCATAGAAAAGACCTTGCTGCGCTCAGAACACTCTTACGTATTGGCGCTGGCCAGGCATCTCCACAACCGTGTCAACCATCAGGGTCATCAGAGTCTCGTTGAGAAACAGACGGTCCGGAACTCAATCAAAAAAGATTTTTCCGACAAGAACCATCACGATGTCATCAGATAGAAAAGGCTTCGTGGAAGCCTATACCAGCGCAGGCCGACCTATCGGCAGTACTGGAAAGGCACTAAATTTGTTCAAGCAGCCAACGTCGTACGACGGAAAAGTCAGCTGGCTTAGATATGAGGAAATCGTTGGTGGCTGGATATCTTTCACCACCGTGGAAATCTCAAGAGCCGCCGGCTCGTGGGAGACGCGCTTGCAGCACTTTGTGAAAGGCACGACCAGCGCGTATCTTTCTTGACGCCTCAGTTTCTTCCATCAAAGAAAACACCATTCAGAGTGTTCATTTTCATTTCCAAGATTGGCATCTTGCTGAACGCAGCATGGAAAGGTCTGACGCCCGTCATCATGGCGCAATCACCAGGTTGTGTCCAATCACCCTGAACCCGGACAACACGGAGACCTTGAGACAGTATGCCAATGGAAGCAACAGCGACACCGTGAAGCGTTTCCACCCAATGATAATTCCATTGCACAGTTCTTCATTATTCAGAGTGAACTGTCAGATAAGCACAGAGAAACGCAGATAATCGCAATGTCTTGAGGAACACCCAGTTGAACAATTACACATGTGAGATGCACTCGCAGTCAGAAAGGTGATGGAGGGTGGTCATGTGATGGCTAATGAAAGATAAGGCCATCATCACCCTCACATTATCTCTTCTTTTTACCTCTCATTGCCTATCTCCCATTTCTCTATCTTCTAAATCTTGGAGGTGGATGAGGTAGGATGACAGGGCCTTCCCACCCACTCTCTTCCCTCAGCCACCTCCCAATCTCCTTTCTCTCGCTTGCAGGTGACGATGAGTGCAGCAGTGAGCGAAGAGAACAAGCAAGGAAGAGAAAGGGAAAGAGATGTTACCGTTATAAAAGTGATTCTTTCTCCAGTCCTTTGCCTATCTTGTCATTCCCAGGAATACTAAAGGAGACTGGGAATGACGGGTAAAGATGCTTGAGAAAGAGATAGAGAGTGAACAGTTAGACCAAGAGCTGGCCAGCGCGTCTGAAGGAAGAGGAATTCATTTGTAAATGCTGGCAAGAACTGGCCAGCGGGTGGGGTTTCCTCTGGTCACCTCCCACCTAATCACCTTCCCATCTCTCTCTTTCTCTCTCTCTCTCTCGTCATCTATTTCCTGTCTCCTTTCCATTCTCACCGTTGCAACGGCTAGGAAAGGAGCAGGGATGAAGAGATAGGAGAGAGCACTAGAACGAAGAACCCAGATGACATGAAAGACATTCTGGATTCTGTGACATGGCTAAGGTAAAGGAATTGCATTCCTTTCTTTTGCGTAGAATCCTCGCCGCTCCAAAAATAAGGGATGGCAAGGGAGACCAGCTCCTCCATCATTATCCTGTCTGTTAGAGCTGGAGCTGGGCAAGGAATGTCTCTCTCCACTACTTGTTGTGAACTCTTGGGATCGCACGCCAGGTAAACGACCGGAGAGAGCGAGAGAGAGAGAGAGAGAGAGATGCATATGATGGCTAATGAAAGAGAAGGCGCCATCATCACTCTTACATCATCTCTTCTTTTTACATCTCATTACCTATCTCCCATCATCTCTAGCTTCTAAATCTTGGAGGTAGGAGATAGGGTGAGAGGGATGATAAGGTGAGCCACCCGCCTCCCACCCCCTCTCTTCCCTCACCCACCTTCCGAGTGGAGAGTGGTCATATGAAGGCTTTTGAAAGGGGCTAATGAAAGGGAATGCCATTATCCTCACATTATCTCTATCTCCCTTCATCTCTGTCTTCTAAATCTTGGATGTGGATGAGGGAGGAGATAGGATGAGAGGGAAGCGTGGTAGCCCACCCACTCTCTCCTTCACCCACCTTGTTAATCTCCTTTTCTCTCGCTTGCAGGTGATGATGAGTGAAGAAGCCATCGAAGAGTCAGGGCAGGCAAGGAAGAGACAGGAAAAGAGATGTTACTCTCTTCAAAAAGTTTCCATATTCTAAGAAATATAAAACAGAGATGCTTTCCATCTCTTGCATTCCCTTTCTTCATTCTATTTTCCTCTCATGTCACTCCCAAAGCTACTAAAAGAAACTAGGAATGCCAGGTAAAGATTGGAGTTGGACAATAAGAACATTCCAGCTCGTCTAGCTTTCATTCATTCACTACCCTTCTCTTGACCTCCCTCGTTTCCAAAAGTAACTTAAAACTGGGCAAGAGGTTGGGAAAGAGAAGCTGGATAGAGGTGAAGAAAGAGGAATTCATTTGTAACTGCTGGAAAGAATTTCCTTGCTCCTTTCCACTCTCACCGTTGAAACGGCCAGGACAGAAGAAAAACGAAGAGATAGGAAAGAGAATTAGAACTAAGGGAAACGAGATGGTTGGATGGCTACTTTCCCCGCCCCCACCTCCATCTCAGCTTCAAGGAAGCTGTAGGTGGTGAGGAATAGAAATGAAGGGGAGTCGTAAGATAGAGGCTTGAAATGAAGGCAAGAGATGGAAAGGTCATAAGGTCAGATAGTCATCCTCCCTCTCGCCTTCTTTTCTCGGCTCTTCACTTTCCAAGAATATCATTTACCATCCTCACCCATCTCCCCGCCAATGAAAATGAGGTGAGGGGATCGGGGATCTCTCTGCCTCCCAGCACCCAACCTCTGCTTCCGAGAAAAAGTGATAAAGGGAAACAAGAAGGGGGGAGAAATAAGCAATGGAGAGTCCTTAGCCCACCCTTCCTTGAGATCTTATTGGTAGGCATTTCCTGTCTATAGGCTCTCTAGACCCAATTATAAATTGATTATTGCAATCTCAGACACTACAATCTACAGTCCTATCACTTGCTCATTTCTGTATCACCCATTAGTCACTGTCATGTCTCTATTTTGCTCCATTGAAAAGACTTCTGAAGTCCATGACATCATTAATCGCAAGGAAAGAGAAACACCAAGAGCTGAGAAATACAATTAAACATGTAAAAAATGAATTGGAATTAGTTTCTGGGTTGACCTGACCGTGCAAATCTGCGACGCTGCTATCCCTTTTTTCGCGCAGATCAAGTGGCAAGTGCTGAAAAAGGAGCCGGTTCACATTATATGCATTGTTCCCTGTCAGGGGGGGGGGAAATCCGGGCAAAATCGACCTGCCAAAAATCGGACAAGAAAAACGGGCAAACGCATCCGGGCAAACACTAGGAATTCCGTTTTTTGAAATGGTCCCCAAACTGTCAAACTTTAAGATAACTTCCTTACCAAAAAAAGTACGGCGAAACCTTCGCACAAAGGCAAGAGACCCTAAGCCTCTTTTATGCGACTGTTTTGGGGTCCTCTTTAGTGTCCAACCTTTTTGTGGAGTTGCTGAAATCCTCAAAATCTAAGCCTCAGCCTTTTACATTTACAAAGGTGGCTCACCTAACCAAGCTCTTTCTAGCTCAAAGGGTAAAGGCCTTGGATCCAGGAAGTCTATTTTGCTTTTGCTGGCGGCCCCCAAACCATCAATTTTAAGATCACCTCTTTACAAAAAAGAACAGGCGGCCCTGATCCTCTTCGATGCGATTGCTTCGGGGTCCCCTTTAGTGTCCAATTGTCTGGGGTTGCTGGGAAAACGGTCCTTGGCAAGACTAAAGTAGAAGTGGCAACGGAAAAGTCGGTACTGGAGTCAGTACTGGGAATCTGAGAGTCAGCCTTGGCAATACTAAAGTCGAAGTGGCAACGCTAAAGGTAAGCACGTGGAATGTGAGAGAGAGGCCTTGGCAATAGTGAAGTTGAGGTGGCAATACTAAAGTAAGTACTGGGAATCTGAGAGGGGGCCTTGGCAATAATAAAGTCGAAGTGGCACGGCGTTACTAAAGTAAGTACTGGGGATCTGAGAGGGGGCCTTGGAAATAATAAAATCGAAGTGGCGCGGCATTACTAAAGTAAGTACTGGGGATCTGAGAGGGCGTTTTGGAAATCCGCCGACCCCTTTGCAAAAGACAAGTTAATCTCTGCAAAGGGGCGAGGCGTGTTCTAAGTGGTGGTGAGGGGGAGTCTGAGGGGGGGGAGGGGGGTCCCGCGGCGGATTTTTGACACGCCTAACCTCTAACCCTAACCTCTAACCCGAACCCTGACCTCTAACCCTAACCTCTAACCCCAACCTCTAACCCTAACCTCTAACCCTAACCTCTAACCCTGACCTCTAACCCTAACCTCTAACCCTAACCCCTAACCTCTAACCTTAACCTCGAACCGTGAGGATGAATGATGATGATGAAAGACTCGGGAAGATGACGGAAGACTATGGGAAGCTGACGGAAGACTACGGGAAGATGACGGAAGACTACGGGAAGCTGACGGGAAGATGACGGAAGAGTGCGGGAAGATGACGGAAGACTACGGGAAGCTGACGGGAAGATGACGGAAGAGTGCGGGAAGATGACGGAAGACTGCGGGAAGATGACCTGACAGAAGACTGCGGGAAGATGACGGAAAGCTGACGGAAGACTACGGGAAGATGACGGAAGAGCGCAGGAAGATGACGGAAGACTGCGGGAAGATGACGGAAGACTACGGGCAGATGACGGGAAAATGACGGAAGACTACGGGAAGATGACGGAAGACTACGGAAAGATGACAGAAGACTACGGGAAGATGACGGAAGACGACGGGAAAATGACGGGAAGATGACCCTAACTCCAACCTCTCACCCTAACCTCTAACCCTAACCTCTAACCCTAACCTCTAACCTCTAACCCTAACCTCTAACCCTAACCTCTAACCTTAACCTCTAACCGTGAGGATGGATGATGATGATGAATGACTACGCGAAGATGACGGAAGACTACGGGAAGCTGACGGGAAGATGACGGAAGAGTGCGGGAAGATGACGGAAGACTACGGGAAGCTGACGGGAAGATGACGGAAGAGCGCGGGAAGATGACGGAAGACTACGGGAAGATGACCTGACAGAAGACTGCGGGAAGATGACGGAAAGCTGACGGAAGACTACGGGAAGATGACGGAAGACTACGGGAAGATGACGGAAGACGAACCGCAAACCCTAGCCTCCAACCCTAACCTCTAACCTCTAACCCTAACCTCTAACCCTAACCTCTAACCTTAACCTCTAACTGTGAGGATGGATGATGATGACGGAAGACTACGGAAAGATGACGGAAGAGCGCGGCAAGATGACAGAAGACTACGGGAAAATGACGGAAGACTACGGGAAGATGACGGAAGACTACATCAAGACTACACGAAGATGACGCAAGACTGCGGGAAGATGACGGGAAGCTGACGGAAGACTACGGGAAGATGACGGAAGACTACGGGAAGATGACGGAAGACTACGGGAAGATGACAGAAGACTACGGGAAGATGACGGAAGACGACGGGAAACTGACGGGAAGATGACCCTAACTCCAACCTCTCACCCTAACCTCTAACCCTAACCTCTAACCCTAACCTCTAACCTCTAACCCTAACCTCTAACCCTAACCTCTAACCTTAACCTCTAACCGTGAGGATGGATGATGATGATGAATGACTACGGGAAGATGACGGAAGACTATGAGAAGATGACGGAAGACTACGGGAAGCTGACGGGAAGATGACGGAAGAGTGCGGGAAGATGACGACTATGGGAAGATGACAGGAAGATGACGGAAGACTACGGGAAGATGACGGAAGACTACGGGAAGATGACGGAAGATAACGGGAAGCGGGAAGATGAGATGACGGAAGAGTGCGGGAAGATGACGGAAGACTCGGGAAGATGACGGAAAGCTGACGGAAGACTACGGGAAGATGACGGAAGACTACGGGAAGATGACGGAAGACTACGGGAAGATGACGGAAGATAACGGGAAGCGGGAAGATGAGATGACGGAAGAGTGCGGGAAGATGACGGAAGACTCGGGAAGATGACGGAAGACTATGGGACGGGAAGATGACGGAAGAATACGGGAAGCTGACAGGAAGATGACGGAAGAGTGCGGGAAGACGACGGAAGACTACGGGAAGATGGCGGAAGACTACACGAAGATGACGGAAGACTACGGAAGATGACGGGAAGCTGACGCAAGACTGCGGGAAGATGAAGACTACGGGAAGCTGACGGAAGACTACGGGATGACGGAAGGTCGCGCACGAGAAGTTCGGGGTTGGTCCTCGTTAGACTACCGGTCTGAACTGTATTGTTGATCCCTCAACCAAAAAACTCCCGCAAAAGGACAAATCGTTTGGGGGCATCGCCTTTTTTGCCAAGGCGGCGGTTGCATCCCCAGCTTCACCAGCATCATCCTGCTGGTCTCTAGCGTGATGCTAGGGATGCTGGGGATGCAAGACCTGCCTTTTTTGTCTTGGACAACCAAGACTTGGTCGTGATGCGCGGCCTAAATCCGGCACCTCTGCATCACCAGCTCGGGCTTGCGGTTTTGCTTGACTGTGGGAAACCCTCGCGAAACATCGCGTGTGTGCATGGTTTAGGCCATGTGACTGACATCGTCAGGGTCTGGGGTTGGGCCTGGGTGATGCTTCAGCGGGGCTTGGTCTGCATCATCAAGACTTCCTTCCAAAAAGCCTCTCCAACCAAAAAGCACTGTTTTTAAGTAGGTATCGGAGGGGTATAAGCAAGGCTCATTTTTGCGCATTTTGGCGCCAAGCGCTGCCGGGCATGCCGGCGATGCTGGGTCCTCGCTCTACAAAACGCTGTAAATACCGCCAAAACCTGCAGTGCTGAGCGTTGGGCTGTCGTTCTGTCCGATTTGCTTTTGCTGTGGCTGGCTCGCGTGCTGCGCGGTCCTTGCTTTTTTCGCGTTGGTTTTCGGGCCTTCTGGCGCGCGACACCCCAGCCACGAAACGCTGCTATTTACGGTGTTTTGTTGCATTTGCGTTTCCGGCCTGGCTTGCGGGCTGCTCTTTTTGGGCTGCTTTTTTGGGGTCCTCTGGCGCGCGCGCGCGCGACCCCATGTCAGCCTTCTGGGTTGGGGCCCGGATGGGGCCCAGAAAGCCGGCATCCCCGGCATTATCTGGGGTTTAGGTGGTGGTATAACTTCAAAGAGGCGTAGCCGGCTAGAGGCCGCAGGCCCAGAAAATAATAAAGCCGAAGTGGGAATCTGGGAGGGGGCCTTGGCAATACTTAAGTAGACTTGGCAATAATGCAAGCAGACAATGTAACTTCTTCGCGCCCAGGGGAAACGAAAAAGGCAATGGCACAAGTAGACGCCCCCCCCATTTTCGGACTAAACAATTGGGGATGCTCTGTCATGTGCTTGCGTATGGGTTTGTCTCGATGTTTGAGAACGCAGGATGGCTGGGTCAATGTCTCAAGCGTGGCGCGCGCGCCCGTCAAAGCTGTCAGAGGTGTAGCTAGCCTCGTCCCCCCACCTGAAGTTGAAGGGAAGAGGACCACCGTTGACAGCATCATGACCATCTTCAGCTGACTCACAAAGAAAACCTCCTGAAAACCAGGTTGCGCGTCTGATATTCAACATGGCCGAAAGGTGCCCTGATCCCGGCAAACACTTGTGCCGAGTTTGCCGCGCAGCTCACGAGTTTCTGGGTTGCATCACAGATTGCATTCAAAAGGCGTGGCAGTCACATAAGCGTCCACGATTTCGCTGGTCTCATTCTTGTTGACTACCTGTGCCGCAACCGTGCCAGTGGTGGTCGTCTGTTCGCACGCAACTCACCGAGCTGCTGGCGCTCGACTCAATCCCGGCAAGCATGGCCTGGCAACTGGCAAGGATATGCATTCAAGTTGAATTGGGCATCGCCCGAAAGATGTTGACTTTTGGCGCTCGTTTCATGCGACTGTTTCACGGCCCTTGTTCTTGCCAAAAACACTTACGGCCGCGCTCGCGACTTTCAAGCGCAACGCGCACAAAGGTTGTGGCGGGGGTCACTTGCAACCAAAGGATTGGGGTCACTTACGACCATGGGTCACTTGCGACCGTAAATTAGGGCCACTTGCGAACAGCAAGGCCGCTTGAGCCACTTGCAACCATAAAATGAGGGTCACTTGCGCCTTTCGTCTCTTCTGCAAGTACTGCGCCAAAATACTGCACCTGCCACGCCGGCACCCGTCCAGTAGATAGCTCTCCTGCCACAAAATCCAGCCTGCAGACTCTTAGGGGTTTTAGGGTTTGGGGGTTTAAGGGATTAGGGGTTTTAGGGTTTAGGGGTTTTAGGGTTTAGTGGTTTTGTTTTAAGGCTTAAGGATTTTTGGGTTTAGGAGTAAAGGGTTTAATGCGTTACGGGTTTAATGGTTGTAGCGTTTAGGAATTAAGTAGGGGTTTTAGGGTTTAGTGGTTTGAGGGGTTAGCCATTTAGGGTCTTAAGGGTTTAAGGGTCCTAGGGTTTAGGGGTTTAGGTTTTAGGGTTTCGGCATTTTAGGGCTTCAGGGTTTTAAGGGTTTAGTGGTTTTAGGCTTCAGGAATTGTAGGGCTTTAGGGGGTTTTAGGGTTTATTGGTCTCAGGGTTTAGTGGATTAAGGGTTTAAGGATTTAGGGTGTGGGTGTTTTAGGTTTAGGGTGTACTGGCTTTAGGGTTTAGGGGTTTTAGGGTGTACTGGTTTTAGGGTTTAGTGCGATAAGGGTTTAGGTATTAACATAGGGTTTAAGGGTTTTAGGGTTTTGTCTTCTTTGGTTTGCTAGGGTTTAGTGGTTTGAGGGTTTAGCGATTTTAGGGTTTTAGTGGTTGAGGGGTTTCGTGGGTTAGGGGCTTGGGGGTTTAATGGTTTTAGGGTTTAGGGATTGTAGGGTTTTGGATTTTACTGGTTGTAGGGTTTGGTTGGTTAAGGGTTGGGGGATTTAGGGTTGAGGGGTTTCAGATTTTAGGGGTTTCAGGGTTTAGGGAGTAAGGGTTTAGCGGTTTTAGGGTGGGGTGGGGGATTGAGGGGTTTTATGGTTTAGTGGTTTTAGGGTTTAGGGACCAAGGGTTAGGGGTTTTAGATTTTAGGGGGGTTACGGTTTTATGGTTTTAGGGTGTAATGATTTTAGTTTAAGAGTTTAGTGGTTTTAGGTTTAAGGGTTTTTGGTTGGTGAATTCTACGGCCTAGGGGTTTTAGGATTTAGCGGTTTTAAGGGATTTTGGTTTTAGGGTTTAAGGATTTTAGGGCTCAGGGATTTTAGGGTTTTAGTGTTTCATGGCTTTTGGGATTGTAGGGTTCTTGGATTTTAGGGAATTGGGGTTTTAGGGCTTGGGTTTTTTTGAGTTTAATTGTTTTAGGTTTAGGGGTTTTAGGGTTTAGTTTTGTGGTTTGTGGGTTCTACGGCTTAGGAGTTTTAGGGCTTTAGGGGTTGAAGGGTTCAGGGATGTTAGTGTTGAGGGGTTTTAGGGGGGGGGCTTTTCATTGCCGCGGCGGGGCGCTTCATGCTTCATCAAAAATGAAGCTGCGCTAGGCTGGAACTTCAGGACACAAATCCGTGAGGTCAAGCGTTGACAATTAATGCGATGGTTTTCTGGGGGGCATCGCAGGAAAGGAGCTTGGAGCTGAAAGAAAACGGCTCCCTCGGCTTCTCGGGCCATTGATTTATCTCGGAGTCGGTTCCCCGTGAACCGGCCGCTGTGCGATCCCTCAAAGTTTCGAGACCCGCAGGGTTCTGAATCTCTCGCTGGCGGGAGGTTTTGCAATGGATTTCCTCATGCGCCAAGCGACGCAGCAAATAAATTTCCCTTCCGGTCAGGGATTGCAGGCAGTCAAAAACCTCGATGATTCTGTCCAGGCCCACCGTGTTGTCCAAGTTGAACATGATGGGAGTCTGCTCGCAGCAGGTGGAAGTGTGCCGAAGCTGCGCGACTTGTGGGATGGAAGAAGTCAATTCACGCCAGGCTGTTACCAAAGGCTTGACTCCGTCGCCCAAGTGTTCAGGGTCTTGTGTCCCAAGCTCGCTCGCCACGGACTTGCGCAAGTAACTGGTGCTGAGAGATGTCGTGTAAATTTCTTCTTTGGTGCTGGAGCCATGTGCTTAAAAGATGCGATTTGTGGGCTGAAGCTGCCAAAGATTAATTTGCGCGCGGTCGGGCGGTCGCTTGTGACCGTGAAATTGGAGTCGCAAGCAATGCTTGCGACCGTCAAAATCGGGTTGCTTGCGACCGTCAAAACGGGGTGTGGGGTCGCTTGTGACTGTCTATAAGGGCTTGGGGGATCTTGTGCTTTTCTTGTGGGGGTTGTGACCTCTCACGTGATTCCTTTCGGAGCTTTCAGAGCACAGAGCAGGGGCAGCCAACCCCGAACGAACCCTGGCTCTCTCTCCAAGAATCCGCAAAAGAGAGCCTTTTCAGAGCGTGTTAGGAGTTGGCGGCCACCCACACCCAGACACTGGCCTGGTCATTGGTGGGGACACGGGAACGAGTGTGAACGGGAAGGTGCGTTCTCCACACTGCGCGTGGCATGTGACACGGAGCTGGACGGGCGCCGCCGGCGCAGCAAAGGCAACAGGAACAGTCCAAGACCACGACTATGCGATTTTAGCATCTTCCGTCATGTTCTTCAATGGGTTCAGGTCACAGTCCACGGACATCATCCGGCAGGTGGACCCGGCCAAGATCTCCACAACATGGAAGTGGCTGAAGGCGCTCCACACCTGCACCTGTGAGTCGCCAGAACCGGGACCAGGCATCCAATCCACGCACCTTCTTGGGCCCCTGCTTCTGCTGAGGTATCAAGCGCTTGCCAGGCCAGGCAGTGGGAGAGAACTGACTGAAGGACCACCGCCGAAGCCCAACACCCGGTTGTCTCGGAAGGTCTTCAAACAGCGCCAGGGCGAAGCTGTGAGGCCAGGAGTTACAAGGATGATCCACTCCAGCACCTCGGGCGGCAGATGGTCACAGAGATCCGGGAAGTCTACGCTGGGCCGCGGGGAAAGGAACAAGCCTGCTCCCGGAGAGTATGTCCTACTTCGAATTGGAGGTCTTCAATCAGGGGTGTTTGTTTTACCGCTCGTTGCCCCATGCGAAATTTTGGAGAAATTTTGCTTAAACCTGATTCAAACTTCGCGTGAGTTTTGCTACATTGATGTTGTTTTCGTCAGATTTCGACTTTGGACAAAGGTGTCTGGCAGGACAGATTTTTAACGGTTGTCGGAAGTTTAGAAGTCTCAGCCTGATTGTGTATTGAGTCAGCCAACAGTTTTGTCAACTGGAAATGATGATGAGACAGCATTATCATTGCGACAAGATGATTATGATTCGCGTGGCAGGCAGGCGTGGCGTCAGTACTGATGACAGGCATGGCACCAGTACTGCTGGCAGGTTTTGTTGCAGCAGCAGTGCGGTTTGTTGAGATTCGATTAAAGCTCGGTAAGCTGTGTTTAAGAAGTGTCTACCCAGCAGGTTCCCAATCAAGAACACCTTCAAGGCAGTTTGGCCGACTGCGCGCGCTCATTTTGGGGAGGTCTTTGTGATAGCGAGTCGTGGTCATCCAGCTGCCAGCCAATCTGGCACGCTGGTTTCCTACTGCTTAACTTGACTCTTCGCCTCTTGCGTGTTCGATTTTTTCAACACCTTTGGGCCACGGTCTTCGTCGATGATTTCATGTGTTTGAAAGAGGGGACATGGCGTTGATGATAGGGCTTTCCAAACCAACCAATTAAGACAGAGGGGTCTCTGGCTCAACGTTGCTATTCGTAACATGAGCGTTAACCAGAATTGACCTCCCCACGCCGCTACCAACAACGTGCAACGCACAATCCTTCCAAAATCTCGATGCCCAGTGGTTGAAACTGTGCCTGCTGTCCGTGGCATGGGTCATCAGCTGTGTTGAGCCGTTCTGACCCATACCTATCACCAATTCTTCCTCGCGATGCGAAGGGAGATGTCTTGAAGGCGCTGTTTTGGATTTGTGTTTGTAGGTTAGTTCAGGACCTTTCCCGTCGGTTATTATGGATGAGGATAAACGATAGAAGCGAAGATAAGGAAATAATATGATGTAGCCACCTGTTTGTCTTTATTGGAGGTTATTTGGTGGCTACAGAAGGGACATAATATCTTTCCTGTTCCCTCGCTGTCAGGTCCTTCCAGCCTTTATCTTCATCCTCTTTTCATCTTTAGGACCTTTCGGTGACAGCAAATATTAACTCCCACAATGATTTCTTCTAGCAGCATGGGCACCGCGAGGGACTGCGAATAGAGGGCCAGCCCGATAGACATGGCATCACGCCGTCGGTGCAGGTGCGCCGCCGTCCGTGTCAGAGGCGGTGCACAGGTGTGCCCCGAAAACGCTTTCCGTCATGCACCTGTGGCATGGAAGGGAGAGAACCCTCCTGACGTGCTCCACCTTCTTGGCGTGCTCGTCCTTCCCTGAGCATCGCTTTTTGATTAGAATCAAAACATTTAATTTTAAGGGTTGGCAAATCAACTCTCTCAATTTGATTCTTTAAAGGCAAAAACCAAACAGAAAAAGAATAGGTTTCAACAGCAAAAATCAAAACGGAAATCAAAAAGAAACAAAAAGAAACTCAAGAAAACACATTTCAAAAAACAGTGAAAACACACCACACAGCTGACAGTTTTCCAAAATGCCAAAGTACATGCAGCAAGTTTCTTTGAACTTGCAGACTGCGCAAAAAACTGGAGCAACCTAAACCATGCCCTATAGGAGTCTGTGGAAAATCAATTTTCAGGATTAAGACCCCAAAAAAAACTTAAACATTACAAACCCTTAAGGGTGATAACCTGAGCCACCTTCCCGCACCATTTTGCTTGCAAATCGCTACTTGCGCAAGATCCA